CACCTGGCAGCCGAGGGCAGCGCAGACTGGTCGCCAGGGGCGTGGATCTGGGGCTGCGCCAGTTATCGCCCCAGCCGGCTCTCGCTAGCCGAGGCTGGTTGGCCCCGGGGAGGCCCAGACTTACCTGCGGCTGGCGGGGCAGCGCCCTCCTGCAGAAGTAGGCGAGCTGCTCGTAGGGCAGGGGCAGCTGGTGCCGCTGGTACAGCACGTGCTTGAGGAGCTCGCAGGCGAAGTGGCAGCAGCCCTGCTGGGTCACCGGGCCGGGGAACGCCACCGAGACGGAGCGGCAGCCCGGGGCGCGGCCGGCCGGGCCCTGCGGGCAGTGAAACGCCGCCGCGCTGCTGCCGCCCCGTCCCGCGGCGAGCTCCGGGGTCACCATCGGGGCCTCCACGGGCTCGGTCGGGAGCAGGTCAGCTGCGGGGAGAGGGGAGAGGTCACGCGGCTGCGGCGCGTACGCACGGACTGGGGGTGGGAGCCCGGAACCCGCCCCTCACCTCACCTGCCCGCTCCTGACGGCCCGGCCCCGCCATTTTCTGCCTCGAGCTCGGCCGCGTCCCGGCCCCGATTTGAATGGCCGCCGCCGCGGGGCACCATGGGAGCCTCGCGTCCGCTCTGCTTCCGGTCCCGGCGGGCCTGACCCCCTCCCCACCGGAGCCATCTTTGTTTAGGGCACAGTGGAGTCGCGCTCCGCCCCATCCCCTTCCCAAGGGAGAGAAGCTGCGCCTGCGCCGCTGAGAGGCGGGGCCCGGGAGGCCATGGCGTGTGTGCTGGGGAGGGGGGAATCTTGTCTCCGCCGCTTCCCCCCCATCCTCGGCATAGTGGAGCTGGGCCTCAGGCAGCGATTGGGTGCGTGGCAGGGAGGGGGGAGACTCTAGTGCTAGGGACGGGGCCTGGGTATGGTAGCCTAGGGTGACCAGATGTCCCGATTTTGGGGGCTTTTTCTTATATAGGCTCCTATTACCCCCCACCCCCTGTCCCTGTTTTTCACATTTGCTGTCTGGTCACCCTATAGCACCCAGACACCACAGGGCCAGGGCTCCCCTCCCTGCTGCACCACCCAGGCTCCTGGCCTGTCTGTTGCCCTGAAAGCCCCCCATAGTTGTGCTCTATCGCTCCTGACTAACTGGGCCATGCTCAGCCTCCCATCACCCATCTGCCTGCCCTTTCCACAAGCCCTCCTGCCCTGGGCATGAACAGCCTCCCGCTCCGCTCCCTAAAGCCCTTGTGCCCTCTCCTCCGCCAATGCAGCGTTGCCAACTGCTGCAATTTTTCGCCAATTTTGAAAGGCCTCAAGGACAAAAATACTGAATCATTTATTTGAGTTATAAATTACTTTCTTGGAGTGAAATGGGGGCAGTTTTATGCAGAGTCCCACAGCTGCCCAATCCCTGGCTCTTTGCTGCTACCTGGTGGCCTTTAAATGAGGAGCCACTCAGGCACACAGGCAACTGGTCCAAATTGACCTCTCCGGTTAGGAGAGGCCACGTGGCACTTGTGCCATTGGGAACAAAGAAAGAATTCTGCAGCAAAGCAGGGCTTCTTGTTGACACTGGGATGTATCCAGCTGGGTGAAGAGGCAGCCAATGGGGAAGCAGGGGCGGCATATGAACTTGGAAAGAGCTCACATGAATGAGAGGTGGCCTCTGCACAATGTTGTCAACCTTTTTTGAAAAGGGAAAAATTTGGGCTTTTTGAAGCAAACTCGTGTTTGGTGATATTTAGGCTATTTTTTGCTCATGTGATCAGTGAAAACTCAAGCTTTGTGAAAAGGAGTACTTGTGGCACCTTAGAGACTAACCAATTTATTTGAGCATGAGCTTTCGTGAGCTACAGCTCACTTCATCGGATGCATACCGTGGAAACTGCAGCAGACTTTATATACACACAGAGAATATGAAACAATACCTCCTCCCACCCCACTGTCCTGCTGGTAATAGCTTATCTAAAGTGGGGTGGGAGGAGGTATTGTTTCATATTCTCTGTGTGTATATAAAGTCTGCTGCAGTTTCCACGGTATGCATCCGATGAAGTGAGCTGTAGCTCACGAAAGCTTATGCTCAAATAAATTGGTTAGTCTCTAAGGTGCCACAACTACTCCTTTTCTTTTTGCGAATACAGACTAACACGGCTGTTACTCTGAAACCTGTCAAGCTTTGTGGTTGGCATTCAGCTACAGAGTGACATTCACCAGAGAACAGCACTGTTTCTGCACAGTTCAAGTGTATCATCTGTTGTGAGTGACACTGACACAAAAAAATGTGATATTTAACCACCATGATGATAATATTCCAGCCCTAATTAATGTATTACCAGTACCATCATTACCATAATTAATTATAACAATGGGATTTATACAAAAGGCAATGAAAGGGAGATCAAAAGGTTCTCTCAGCACAGTGAGGAGAAGTGATTTTGCCAAGTGCTGGGACTAGAACTCAGGAATCCTGACTACTTAGCTTGTGGCTTAACCACATAATCAGCCTTGCATGTCTAGTCTGACTGTCTTTTTTATAGGAGTCTACAGGTGAGCTAAAAACACCCTGGGGAAAAGCAAGGGGTTGAATTAAATGTGCTCCATATAAACTGGGTCTTCCCTTGCATTTCTGTACACCACAGTATCTAGGCATATAGACTTATTCTGACACTTTTTAACTTGGCTATGATAACAAACTGAATTTGGTGGCTATGACAACAAACTGAATTTGGCCACCATTATGCCACAAGGTAAAGGCTGGGTTCTAGTGTCCTTCTAGTGACCTCTCACCAAGAACAGGAAGGGGTGTCAGCTGCAACATCTTTTTTTAAGACCTGTATCAGTGGAACAGGCCCGCTGGGTGTGGGCCAAGGACAGTACTCTTTCCTCAGACTATTGATGATACCAAGTTGGGGGAAGTGGGGATATATCATAACATAACACACCATTTCCCCTTCTTTAATTTCCATGTCCAGCTGGTTTGCTATAGGCAACATTGTCTAGTGATTAGTGCAGGCGAGGGACTGAGACTCAGAGCTCCTGGATTCTACTCCCCACTCTACTACAAGTTCACTGCATGACTGTGGCCAAGACACTTATTATTTTTATCATTTATATTACAGTAGAACCTAAAGAACCAAATCAGGATCAGACTCCATTATTTTAAGCACTGTACAAACAGACCTGGTTTACATTAGAAACCTGTCATTAGAAAAATTAGGACCCATAACCACCAGATGGGAGTAGTGCTCCTTGTTGTTTTTGTTTTTGCTGATACAGAGTAACAGGCTACCACTCTGAAACCTGCTCTGAAGCTGTTATCTTTTCTCAGCTTGCTGTAGTGGGTGATGCAATTTGTTACCGATAGGAGGTCAGTCCTGGAGGAGGCGGTGCCAGGAAGCACTGAGAGGGTGTGGCTACAGCTAGTTGTGTTTGAAAACAAAACATCCCTGATTCCTCATTGGCTGCAAATTTAAAAATCAAAATAGGGAAGAAAAAGGAGTCCCAATTCTATATTCTACATGCATGATGGGATCTGTAGTTCCATGGCTTCTGCATGTTCTTGTGTGTGTAATATGCTTAGTGTGGGGATGTAATGTACTGTATTTAGATTACACTAGTACCATGTCCTTTCATAGCACCTTTCATCAAAGAATTTCAAAGTGCTTTACAAACATTAATTAATGAAACCTCACTAGCGGCAAAGTGATTTGGCAAAACTATACAGTCAATCAGTGGGGGGAGCTGGCAGTATGACCTAGGAGTTTCCCAGTCCAAAATTCTTGCTTTAATTGCTAGACCATACTCTTAACATATGTCACAGTATGTTTGATATGAATATATTATATCGTTTTGTCTTTATAGATATTTAGGCGCCAAATTTCTAATCTGCCGGGGGTGCTTCCCCGGTGGCTCAGCCCCCACTCCACCCCTTCCCCCAAGGCCCTACCCCTACCCTGCTTCTCCCCACCCCCACTCTGCCCCCACCCTGCCTCTTCTTGCCCCTCCTCTTCCTCGCCCAGTTCCACCACCTCCCCCGAGCGCACTGCACCCTCACTTCTCCCCCCTGGAAAAAAGCGGCCTCTTGATAGATAGTTTCTTGGATTGCTAATGTACTATACAGTTGAGGCTCCCACAGCTCTCTTCTATGCTATATAAGGCCACAGTAGCCAGAGGATGCTAGGGGTCTTATGTACATACCCAGCACCATACACACAAGCACTGTACACTAGATGTAAATCTGTAGATTTCAGAAATCGGATCTTACTACGTTGGTGCCCAAACTTTGCCCAACCATGAAGCTGCATCAGCAGCTTGCTGGGACTTGCTTGACATAGAATGATGTCAATCACAGCTATAATACAGAGGAGCAGCCCATGGAGGCAATGGGCCTCAGCATCAAATGTTCCATCTCATTCCCTTGAAAGTGTGTTAAGTCGTTTGGGAAAGGTGCAGAGCACAGGTGATGCCATTCTGCCTCCCTTCCAGTGCCCCAATTCCTTTCATGAAAGACAAAGAGGCTTGTTCGTAAAAAAGAAAACACAAGAAATGAGCCTGGTCTGAAACCATCACAAAATGGTAAGATAGCAGAGAACCAGCAAGCAAACAGCCACTCAGTGAACTGGAAAACCACAACTCCCAGGAGCCTCTGCTCAGCAGATCCATAAGGAAAGGACGTTTTGGCCTTAGAAGTTCTGGGAGCTGTAGTCCTTTCGAAGTAGAGGCCACAGACGGTTTCTGTTTAGCGCAGTGGACCCTGGGAGCTGTAGTTCTGTGTGCTGGGACTGCTGCGCCCGTGGTCCTTTGCGAGGAGGCCCCCAGAGGGAGAGAGGCGTGGCGAGCGCGATGTATGCTGGGATTGCTATGCGGCGCGGTGCATGCTGGGGGTTGTAGTCATGGGCAGCTGCCCGCACTCGGTTTCCCGTGGCGCCCCGCGGCTGTTTCTGACGCCAGAGGCTGGAGGCAGCTGGAAAGGCTGGAGCCGGGGGGCGGCGGCGGCGGCGGCTGCCGGGGCAGGGAGGCTGGGACGCGCCGGGCCGGGATGGACTCGCGGGTGTCGGAGCTGTTCGGGGGCTGCTGCCGGCCCGTGGGGGGCGGCGGGGCGCTGCGCGGCCGCGGGGGGCGGGGGCCGGCGGGGGCTCCAGGGGGAAGAAGAAGAGCGGGAGGAACCGGGGCGGCAAGGCCAACAACCCGCCCTACCTGCCGCCGGAGGTGAGCGCGGGCCAGGGCAGGTGGGGGGGCGGGGCGGGGCGGGGCGGGGCGGGGGGCTGGCGGGGGAGGGGAATGGGGGGCGTTGGGCTGGGGGTAACTTTCGTCTCGTTGATTAGCATTTGCTCGGTGGCGATGGGCAGCGCCGAGTGCTGTCATTATTGTGACGCGATTCCCCTGGCTGGGGCGTTAATGGGGCTAGAGGGTCCTTGTCGCTGTGCATTGGTGTGGGTTGTGTTAGCGGGGCCGGGGGGTTGTGGAATTGTGGGGGGTTGATCTGTGTGTGCAGCTGATTGTGTCCTGGAGTCCAGAAAGGCCTTATCTCAATTCTAGTGCCCCTAGGCTGGCGATAAAAGTTTTGGAGTTGGGGACGCAGTCTCTGCTGTCCTATCAGCCTTCTCAAAGCCCCCTTGGCAGAGAATTCCGGTGCCTGCCTCTGCTCACGCTATAGCTTGCCAAGCCGCTCGAGAGTGAAACTCGTATGGTTCTCGTTTACTTCAGGCTTTCCAGGAGAAGTAGGGGAAAACCGAATAAAGCTCTAGTCATTTTTCACTTTTTTGAAGCTCTGAGTTGTGACCGAGTCACTGGAACTGGCTGTCTGCCTCGGTTATACCCAGTTCACATTTGGAAGTGCCTTTGCAACTGTAAAGGCTAGGAAAAACTTTAATTGATAGGTTAGTTTCTGTGTAAATTGGTGGCTTCGCTCCCTGCCAGGCAATGCTTCCAAAAGTCACAGGCAAGTGAAATTTTCAGGCCTTGATGATGTAAGGCAGTGACAACAAGATAATATATGTGCTGGATGCAGGAGAGCTGAGGCTTGGAAAGGTTATGGAGGAGGGCTTTTCATCGGGTAAGAGAAAATGATGGTCAGCTGGGGATCCTAGCAGAGGAATTCCTGCCCCTCTTTGTGTGTGACTCTAGTTTCTTGCTGTCTCTTCCTGTCTCTTCACTAGCCCCCACCCTTGTAGGTGTGGAAAAGCATAATAGGTTTTCATGATTATTAACTAGATTGGAAGCAGTTCCTGAGGGTGGATCCTGTTCAGTCAACTGAGGAGAATGCGTTGATGTGTATCTGCTGTTAAGGCACTAGAATATTAGGCTATGTCTACACTATGCAGCTTTTAGTGACGAGGCTGTGTTGCCACAGCTGTGTTGCTAAAAGGCGCATAGTGTAGTCGCTGTCTGTAGACAAAAAACTTCCACACCCAATGAGCGCTGTTAGCTTTGTCCGTAGGAGAGCGCTCCTGCCGACAACGCGCTGTTCATACCAGCGCTTTTCGTCAGCAAAAATTTTGTCTTTCAGAGGGGTTGTCAACACCTCTGAAAGACACAACTTTTGTCATTCCATTGCCAGCGTAGACGTAGCCTTAGTGTAGCTTGGGTGGTTAATGAGGCCACATTAAATCCTTTTTCCCACCCTGGCCACATCCTGAGTGTGTTTAGCACATTTTGCCTTCTCTGCCTTTTACTCTGATTAATGAATACTGGCAGCTTGGCCTCTTGTGGAGGGAGACACTTGGGCAGTCCCTCTGTAGAGCTCTGATGTGGCAGTGCTACTCTCTTGTGCTGCCAGTCCCACAGAGGTACTTAAACGCCATTGGTGTTTAGTGAGCTGGCATTAGTGGGGCACAGTCTGCTTGTCTAGCATGCCATTTGAGTGTACTTTGCAGTCTGATAGCTACAGCCTTGGGAATAGGTTCTGCCGGACAGCTCAGCACGCAGTCCAAGATGCCCAGTTCCCTTCCATTGCTGAGATCTGATCTGCCATGTTCTATGGAAACACATTCTCAGCTGGCCCAGTGACACCCCAACTCCTCTTGGACTGCTAATTTGAGTTAGCAAATATTTGCTGAGTTTGGGATTCCACCCTGTAGAGGGTCCAGACCAAACCCTGGGTAAAGTGAGAGGTGGTTCCAAAGCAGATGGTGCCATGTCTGATGGGGTTTTCCTGCTGCATTGTGAAAATGAGTCTGGTAAGTGGCCATCTTAGTTGCTGGAGCTCAGACAATTCCCAATGGCCTGGGGTTGATGGATACCACTGCTTGAGGAGCATGAGGTTTGCCATGGACCATTGGTAGTCTGGCCCTGTGTTTCATCAAAGGATATTTACACCATCCTCAAAAACATCAGGGTGCAAGTCCCAAGTGAGAGGTGCGGGACAGGTACTTCTGTCCAAGGCAGGATGCTTTGCTTTGGGGGATGAGGAACAGAGATGCTAGAACAGGTTAATCCCTACTGAGTCCCAAATAGTCCATCCTTAGGGACAGGATTGTTCCCTGCAGTGACCTGGCTGTTGTGCCTTTCAGCTGTAGGAGGGACAGTCCTCTAAGGCTTCAGTATCTCTTCCTTCCTGTCCCCAGACACCCTGCCTGCACCACTGTCCAGCAAGTCTAGACTTGTCACTGTCCTTGTACCTCTTGCACTAGACTAGAGTCTCAGTTGCTATGAGACAGGCACAAAACCCTTGTTCAGAGGACAATGCAGATACTGATGCAGTATCCAGAGCTGAAAGGCTAATGGGTGGGAGAGGTTGGCAGAAGGGACCCTCTTACCAGTGCCCCTATCTTGCTAAGAAGCTCCAACTTTGAGTAGAGTTAATTCTTTGGCCCTTTGCCACCATAAGCCGTTTATTTTGGTTAGGGGCTGAGTTAGAATGCAGGGCGGGGGCTTTACTTTCCCTTGCTGGGCAGGTCCACGTGCTGGGAGAGGGAGCTGTATATTTCCAGAGAAGCCAGCTGGCAGGGCAGTTGTAGTTCAGGAAGAGCTGAAATCCAAGCAGGTCAGTTTTCACACTGCTGTCAATCTGGTTTACTGCTCTTTCCACTGGAGTTCCTGGCTCCCTGCAGGACCCAGTCCTGTCTCTGTAACCTGTAGACTGAGATCAGTGGGGGATCCAGTTTAGTATTGGACATGTCTTCTCTCTGGGGGCTGAATCCTGCCTTGGCTGGAACGGAATTGATGAGCTAATACGTCTTTTCATTTCTGCCTACAATGATCTGGCCTCCTGAGGAAACCCTTCTGTGCCCAGAGAAGCTCCTGGCTCATATTTCTCGGGAGCTGTCAGATCAGTGAGTGGTTTGTTTTACCACAAGTTGATCAATAGCACTTGCTTGCTCATGACTGTGAGGAGCATCTCTCACTGAGGGGCAGCCATGCATGCTTATGGGGAGAGGTCAGAGAGAGGAACAGTTAGCAGTGGGTGCAGTCACTGTCAAGAAAGGTGGGAGTCTCTGATAGGCCAGCTCAATGCTGGATCGGTTGTCTGGTTCTTTTGTATTGAATGCAGATTTAAGAGCAGTATAATGCTGTTAGGCTTGGGTTTAGGAGTAAAGAGCTTTTTACTCCATGTCACCAGTTCCAGTATAGATCAGGGGAGGATGAGCTGGGTGGTTTGAGATTGGGGAGAGGGATATGGAACCTTTTGCCGCAGGTTACCAGACCCAAGACAGGCCCAGCTTGCTAGCAAGTAATAAAGCTGTTCCCATAAGACTTTTAATGGACTCTGTGTAACATAAAGTGGGGTGGCGTGTTCCAGACCAGTGGTTCTCAACGAGGAGTACATGTCCCTCTGGGGGTATGCGGAGGTCTTCCAGGGGGTACATCAACTCATCTAGATATTTGTCTAGTTTTACAACAGGCTATAGAAAAAGCACCAGTGAAGTCAGTACAAAGTAAAATTTCATACAGACATTTCAATGACTTGTTTATACTGTTCTGTATACTATACACTGAAATGTAAGTGCAATGGTTATATTCCAACTGATTTATTTTATAACAAAATGCTAACAATGAAAAAGTAAGACATTTTTCAGTAATAGTGTGCTGGGATACTTGTAATTTGATGTCTGATTTTGTAAGCAAGTAGTTTTTAAGTGAGGTGAAACTTGGGGTATGCAAGACAAATCAGCCTCCTGAAAGGAGTACGGTAGTTTGGAAAAGTTGAGAGCCACTGTCTCGGACCACTTCCTAGGAGGACACGCAATCACTGGTAACCTCAGCAGAGGCACAAGGAGTTGACTGGGCCATGGAGAATGAACTCTCCTCACACCCCTACATAGAGTGACTCCAGGGCAGGGTTGGGAGGTAAATGAAGAGGCTTGTGCGTTCCACTGCCCGGGCTGTGCCTATTGTGGACATAGAGGTCTTTTAACTGGGCACTTCCTTTTGCTAGCACTAAAAAGATTGTCCATTCCCAGTACGACCCCTTAATTTTGGCCTCCCAGCATTCATACTAGAGTGTCCCAGCTGCTTTGTAGCGCAAACAGCAGCAACGTGCACGTGGTAGTTTCCAGTACGGCGTGGGACTGCAGCTCTGGCAGGGAGGCTATATCTTAGCATGTATGTTGAATTCTCTGCAGTTTCTTTCTCCTTACGAAGCTGGCAGCAGCAGCTGATTATCCATGTGTCATTCCAGACCACCCAGAATGGTGTGTGGGCTCCATGGTGTTAGGGAAGTCATGTGGGGTGGGCAAGGGCGTTTGGGAAAAGTGCTTGGGGTGGTGAGGTGGTTGCTAACCCATGTCTCATTTGGTTCTTTAACCAGGCAGAAGATGGGAACATAGAATACAAGGTGAGTCCTCAGGGGATTGCAAAGGGGGATCCTCTTCCTGACCAGTTACCCTGTAACCTCGGGTCCAAGGGGATGAATTGAGCAAAGCGGGTATATGGGGGACATGCCCAGGGGGATACTCAAAAGGGAACCATCCTAGCCTTGCCCTTGGGAGGGTGGGCCTGAGGTAGGGCACTATTCATCTCACTTTGGGTTCTCTGAACCTGGTGGGAGAAACTGGATGCTAGAGAACGTGCAGTGCAGAATCCCTTTGGACCGTACTCTGGAGGGGCGTTTTGTGTCCCATGTGCTGACCAGTGTAGAGGTCACTCTGCCCTGCAAAGTCCATCTTTTCATCCCCCTCTCTCTTTCCTTAAAGACCCAGAGCTATAGGTGCCATTTATGTCCTTTCCAGTTGTATTTTGGGGCAGTCCTGCCGTTCTCACTCAGGCCAGAGCACAAATGGTTTGGGCCCTATGGCACAGGCTCCCTAATCCAGTGCTTCCCTCATACCAGCCAGTTTTCAGGTGCCATCTGCAAGATACAGGAATGTTCTGCTACAGAAGTTCTTGTCTCTCTTGTAACCTTCTCTCTCCTATCCCACTGGCTCCTCTGCAGGTGCTAACTCGGAGTGTGTTTCCCAGAGGTGGGTCTGCTGAGGGGGCCATTGCTCCATGGCAGAGGGTTAGGGAGTCACTGCCCCAGGGAGATGGGATTCTCTCTGCCCCCAGGCAGCAATTGTAACCGCTCCCTCCCTCGAGCAGCTGAAGCTGGTGAACCCCTCGCAGTATCGCTTTGAGCACCTGGTGACACAGATGAAGTGGCGGCTGCAGGAAGGCCGGGGTGAGGCTGTCTACCAGATTGGCGTGGAGGACAATGGGCTTCTGGTGGGCCTGTCAGAGGAAGAGATGCGTGCCTCCCTCAAGACATTGCGCCGGATGGCTGAAAAGTACGTTTCTGAGGATCTCTAACCTCTGCTGGGCCAGAGAAACCCAGCTCTGCCCCATTCTCCCCGCAACCCCCAAAAGGGTCTTGGTGGCTCTTTCTTCTTCCTCCCCTCCTCTGAAAGGCCTGTAGATCAAGGAAACATGTCTCCTAGCCAAGAGCCTAGGACCTTGTCCAGTTCACACTCAGAGAGGCCCCAGGCCAGGGAAACCAGCCTTGCCGAGGCTTTGGGGTTTTTGCTATTAGAGTCCCCTGTCTGAAGGTCTGAGGCTTCTGTCCTGCTGCTCTCAGAGCCTTCAGCCTGCCCTGCAGTTTCAGTCCTGTTCCTAGGTCCCTTATGGTGCTCCGGCCAGGTGATGCCCTGGATAAGGGGCCAGTCATGTACTAGCTCACCCCAGGCTATTCCCTCTTGCCCCCTTTGCAGGGTCGGAGCTGACATCACCATCCTGCGGGAGCGCGAGGTAGATTATGACAGCGATGTTCCCAGAAAGATAACAGAGGTTCTTGTCCGGAAGGTCCCTGATAACCAGCAGGTAGGGAGCCCTTGGCTGGGTTGCTCTCCTTGACCTGGGAGCCCTGTGGTACTGGAGACTCCCAGACTCCATTCAAGAGGTTTCCCTTTGGGATGAGATGGGAACCCTTCCCCCTGGAACCACTTCACATTATAACAGTTCACAGGGCACACGCTAAAGAGCTACCAAAAGGGGGCTCAGCCTTTTATCCTCCGGGTACCAGCTGCTACTTACCCCAGACAAGGGAGGCTGGCTGGGCCAGGGAATGGGATATGAAACCTTTCACCTCCGCAGCACCAATTCTAATCCAGCCCAGTGTGGAGACTGGGGAATGATCTGGCATCTGTATTGCAGTAAGTGTGTAGATGACCTTTTTGTGATGTCATAGACCTGGCATAGGACATCATGCTTGGCATGGTGGAGTCATAAACCCTAGTCTACAATATCGTGGGATGGTCAGAATCTAAAAAGAAGTGCTGCATAGTGATCCCTGCCTTTCTCAGCCCATTCTGGAGGGAACATGTGGGGCATGTCGGCTGACATGGGGTGAGCACGTGCCACCCATACCTGTGGGGTTCTTGTCCGTGCATCAGGTGCAGGTTGCCCCGTGGTTTCTCTGCTCTGACTCTTTTTTTCCTTTAGTTCCTAGACCTGCGAGTGGCTGTGCTGGGGAACGTGGATTCAGGGAAGTCAACGCTGCTGGGTGTCCTGACCCAGGGTGAGCTGGATAATGGGCGGGGCAGAGCCCGCCTCAATCTCTTCCGGCACCTCCATGAGATCCAGTCAGGGAGAACATCCAGCATCAGCTTTGAGATCCTTGGCTTCAATAGCAAAGGAGAGGTATGGAGCGTGAGTGCTATCGCAGCAGTGCGGAGAGAGTGACGCCCAACTCCCTATGAGGAGTGGGAGGAACATGACTGCCCTCCTGTCTCTGTGCCGCCCCTCACTGCAGTGGGCGGAGCAGGACTGACTCAACAGCAACAAAGGAGTTCTGTGCCCCCTACTGCTGCAGCAGAGAGCCTAGGAGTGATCAAGTTGTAATTAGAGGTGGTAGGAGAAGGTGCTGCTTGTCCAGTTGGAACAGGCATCTGTTCTGGTGTCCTGCTTCTTGCCTCCAGATTAGTGGTGTACAGGGTTGACATTACAGTATAGCCACAGCAGCCTGCATAGTCAGGCCTAGTCCCTTTCCAGGTGCAGAGTCTCAAGCCCTCTGGCACTTGTTTCTGTTCAGATGGAGTTGGTATGGTTGGTGTTGTCTCTTCTTCCCTCTGCCTCCTCCTTTGCATACCCCATACCTCAGTCTCTGGTTCCTTGTCTTCTCTAGGTGGTGAACTATAGTGACTCACGGACGGCAGAAGAGATCTGTGAGAGCTCCTCCAAGATGATCACCTTCATTGATCTGGCTGGCCACCACAAGTACTTGAAAACCACCATATTCGGCCTCACCAGCTACTGCCCAGACTTTGCCATGCTGGTGGTGAGCGCCAACACCGGCATTGGTAAGTGCACCATGAGCCAGCCTTGGGAAAAGCACAGAGGGTCTGGCAGGATGCTTTAGGGGCACTTGAAGAGTGGTAGTTGCTGGCTAATGGGTGATTGTAGTTGGAAAAAATGATACTGATTCCAATTCCCTCCTGACTCTCTGTAGCCCAGTGATTCCAGTGCACCTGTGGGTGCTGCAGATGAGCTGGGAACTTGGCTGCCTCATACACCATTGGTACCTGAGCTCTGATTTTATTGCTGAGGGTTGTGACCAGGGCAGGAAAGTTTTGGGTAGCATTTGAGGGCATTCTGAGCATGTCAGGGAAAAATCACCTTGATATATTAGTGGTGTATATTGGATCCCAAAGCATCTTAAAGGAAGTAAACTAGAACCTTCCCCTGTCCATTTGGACAGCCACTTTTCTGACTAATCCATTAGCTTCTGGAGAGAAACTCCTGGGTCCTAATGGAGCAGAAGCAGGTGCCTTGACCCAGAAAAGCTTTGATCTGTCTTTCTGGAATGATGGTTAAAGAGCTGTGCCCCCTTGCCTTTGCCTGAGATGCTGAGCAGGTGAAGTGACACAGTTCCATCCTCATCTGTTTGATGGGCCCATGGGGCACTTCTTGGGCAGGGAGATGCTGGCATCCTGCGAGCAGGTGGCTTTGGTGCCCATGCTCCTTTTAGCTTCTCCCTTGTTTCTTGTAGCAGGTACCACGCGGGAGCACCTGGGCCTGGCCATGGCCCTCAAGGTTCCCTTCTTCATTGTCGTCAGCAAAGTGGACTTGTGTTCCAAAGCCACCGGGGAACGGACAGTAAAGCAGCTGGAGCGGATCCTGAAGCAGCCGGGCTGCAACAAGCTGCCCCTGCTAGTGAACTCGGACGATGACGCTGTCACAGCAGCACAGCAGTTTGCACAGTCTCCCAAGTAAGGAACCTTAATCTCTTCTGAAAGGAGCAGAGGGAGTCAGTTGAGTTTAGTCTGCTGGGATTTTACCAGCTCCGCTCACACAGGGGAGGAGACTACATCTCTAGGAGGCATTAGCTGTCTCCTCCCCAGATTTCACTCCTTCAGCTCCTCCACACATGGCCCCCTCTCCCAGGCCTTTTCAGTGGCTGAAAGTGGGGTGAATGTGTTCCTTGCTTACCCTAGAGACACAGCTCCAGTGAGGAAGCCTGGATTGGCTGGGTGCAGATGGCCCGGGCCAAGCTCTGGAGAGGCTTTCATAGTGCTGTCTCCGCTAGATCCCTTTTAGCTCATGTATTCTCCTCTCGGGGCCAATTCCTTGCAGTACTTTCCCCAAGATGGGCTCTGCAGCTGTGTTGTGGCCCCCAGCTCATTCCTTTCTCTGTGTGTTTGGCAGCATCACCCCGATCTTCACACTATCTAGTGTTTCTGGAGAGAACCTGGATCTCTTAAAAGTTTTCCTCAACATCCTTCCCCCTCTGACCAACAGCAAAGAGCAGGAGGAGCTGATGCAGCAACTTACAGAGTTCCAGGTACATACAGGCATTGGACTGATGTTCTTATACTGCACCCATTACCATGGCAGCTGAGCACCTACCTGAGAGCAAGCTGCACTGCAGTCCCCTGTATCTGGGGCAGTGGTTCTCAATTTATTTATCATTGTGGGCCGAATATGCGGCCCACAAAGTGTTACCCGGGCCACAGGTTGAGAAGCACCGTGCCCCCCACCTAAACCCCCACACAAACCCCTATGCTCAGGGCCCTCTGCCCAGAGATCCCTCCACAAAGTGGGGCCAGGAGCGGAGAGCTGGGTGGGGGGAAGGGACCCTGGCCCCTGCTGTGTGGGGATCCCCAACCCCCGCCATGCAGGGCCGGGAGGCAGACGGCTGCCCGGAGCCCGCAGCCTTTAGCACACAGCTGACCTGGGGTGAGGGGAGGTAATGTGCTGAGCCACTGGAGTAATGAGGAGGATGGGAAATTAGAAGTGGTGCTGGTCCCCTCTATATTCCATGTGCTGCTTCTGAAAGGGCCTGCCAGGTATCTGAGTGTCCAGCTTAGTGCAAGCCAAGAGATGTGCTGGGCACATCTCTGAATAATGAGCTCTTGGGTGTCTACTTCACTCTGAGACTCTTTAAAATGGGAAACAGTTGGAGCAGGGAACAGGTCTGCTATAGGCCCCTGTCCCCTGGGCGTCTGTGGTGGGTGGATGGTGGCTCATTCCAGTTCTGAAGTGCTGCTCTCCCAGTTGCATGGTGAGTCTAAAGAGCTTACTCTTGTTGCCCTGCTGCAGGTGGATGAAATCTATACTGTGCCTGAAGTGGGGACTGTTGTGGGAGGAACTCTGTCCAGGTGAGCCCTGCTCTGTGCACAGTGACTTGGATGGGCTCAGGGGGATTAGGGTTTGGAGGGGAGAACATGGGCTGAGCACTGACAGATCTCCCAGGGGATTTAATTCATCGTGTACGGGCTGGGCAGTAAAGTGGAAGCTGCCTGTAAGTGGGGATGGGGGTGAACATGGAGGCTGAATTTACGCTTCGCCTGGGTAGGACGGGGAGCAGGATAGGGGGAATCTCAGCCCAGAGGACAGGCTGTCTCCAGAGCAGGGCTCTAGTGTGTTGGTGGGAACCCTGGGCAGCTGCTTTGCCTCTGACAGGGCTGTGGTTGGAGCCTGGGTGGCCTCCTGAGGGTTGTGTCTTTCACTGGACTTTCAGAAGTCCTTCATCAAGAAGCAGGTGGGTAGTTTGGGAGGAGAGACAGCAAATCAGCAGTCTTAGGTCTGCTCAGGGCAATGCTTGCTCCATTGGCCCCAGTAGGAGTGTGGGACAGCTTTAGCAGTTGGTCAGTATTCCAGGGCTAGTCGAGTGCACCCAGTCTCTCGGGGATCCCAGGCAGCACCAGACCTGCAGCAGGTCACCTCTGTGCTGCCTCTATTGGAACAGACAGAATGGAAGAGCAGGTGGAGACTGGCTGAGTTGCCTGTGTCTAAGTCAAACCCCTTGGAATCTCAGAGGGCTGCATTAGCTGATAGTTCTGGGAATCCAGACTCCCTTCTGCTGGGCACCTGAGTTAGTTGGTCAGACACTGGGGAGGGAGAGTCCAGACAGACTCATTTCCAGTGGGATTCAAAGAGGCTATCCAGGTTAATCTCATTGGATGTCTTTCCCTGTGTCTCTGGTTAAACTCCGTCCTGCTCTTGTGCCCCCGGCAGTGGAATCTGCAGGGAGGGGGAGAGCCTTGTGGTCGGCCCCACTGATGATGGCAAGTTCCTCCAGCTGAAGGTGTGCAGCATCCAGCGGAACCGCTCCGCGTGCCGTGTGCTTCGGGCAGGACAGGCTGCCACGCTGGCCCTTGGGCCCTTCGACCGCTCCCTGCTGCGTAAGGTGAGTTGTGCTCCCATCTCCAGGGTGCTGCAGCTGGGCTCCTCACCTTGACAGCATCCTGAGCAGGCAAGGAGGAGGCTATTGTGCTTCCTCTGAGATTCCTATTCAAGGGGAGGGAGTTTAGAAACATGAAACAAGGCACATCCCCAATAGAAACCTCACCCCACTCCTGTCCTATTGCCAGATTCTGGTTCAAATGGTGGGGTAGTTGGCCTCCAGGCTAGAGATGGATGCATGGAGCTTTAAGTAGGGTTCAGAAGATGGGTTGGGGGAAATTGTAGGGGAAAGTTCATGGGGTTCAGCAGCAGCAAGGGGGCTGTTCCTGATGGTCTGGGTTTTGAGCTTGAAGTGTTGTGCAGGGCATGGTGATGGTGAGCCCAGAGATGAACCCCACCATCTGCTCAGTATTTGAAGCCGAGATCGTGCTGCTCTTCCATGCCACGACTTTCCGAAAGGGATTCCAGGTGACTGTGCACGTGGGGAATGTGCGGCAGACGGCCATCGTAGAGAAGATCCATGGAAAGGTGAGATTCTCACCAGCGGGGGTGTTCTGGCAGTGTCCCAGAGCCCTGCATGCTCTGGCTTGTTAGGTTTCCTTAGGACTTCTCCCCTCCCCTCTGTTAGGAAGTCTCACTTCGCTCCTTCCTGCTAATGCCATGGCACTTGTATTAGGTCCTGCCTTTCCTCTCCTCCCAGGAAGCTGCCTTTGTCCTCTGGCCTGCTAGTATCACTGGGGAACTTCAACAAGGCAGGGCAGAGGAGTAACCCCCTGGTCTCCAGACCTCTTTGCTGCAAGTCAGAGTTCCTTTGCCACAGTGCCCTGACTAGTGGGAGGGCCTCAAGCTGTGGCGCCTTAAATGGTGGGTTCTGGGAGAGACTCGGGAGATCTTGTTAGCATTCTTCCTCCCCTCTCTGCCTTGGACTTCCCAGTGCCCCTGGATGTGGAGGCAAAGGGCTGGGTGGGCATGCTCCTGTTTGTGATGGACAGCCCTCTCCTCTCCCTCAGGACAAGCTGAGGACAGGGGAGAAGGCTGTTGTTCGTTTCCGGTTCATCAAACATCCTGAGTACTTAAAGATTGGCGCCAAGCTGCTGTTCCGTGAAGGAGTCACCAAAGGTATCGGGCATGTCACCGACCTCCAAGCTATCACCACTGAAGAGAATGGCCTGGAGCAGACCCTGGGGAATGGGCGTTTGACCTTCTGACTCCCACTAGATCTGTGAGATCTCCAGACACCAGCAATGGAGGAGAGAGTTGTGGGGAGTTGTGAAGGGCAGGACGTGATTGGAACTTCTGCTGTCCAGTTCTAGCATGGGCTTCTCCTCTCCACACTGTGAGGGTGGAGCCCAGGAGAGCTCCCTGTGTTCAGTACCCCCCACGGGGAAAGTTAAGCGTGTTGTCTCCATCGTCTGCTGCTTTCATTATCCTGCCCTCCTCCACAATAGACCAGAGGCAGCCTTAGTCTGGGCAGGCGAGTCCTGGCTTTGTTTACAGTACTTTGGTGGGAAGTTGTTGGCTGGTACAAAGCAAAGCTCCTGAGGTGCTGAGCAGCGGTGAAGGGATGCTGCCACCACTGTTACAGGGTCAGTTCCATTGCAGCTCTCTGAGCATTGGGCCTGACCTGTACTGTGTGCGCCCCTGTCTTCCAGTCTCAGGCTTTTCCCTCCAGGGCAGAGACCTTTGGGACAGCATAGGAAGCCCAGCCACCCAGAGTGCAGAGACTTGGTTAAACTCAGGTTCACAAACAATAGGAACCTGAGAAAAGTTCAGGACCCTTGTAGCCCTTTTAATCTTGGTTGATTTTAATCCCACGTGGGCCCCCCTTCTGTGTTCAGTGGCTCCTGCTTGGCTGTCCCAGCTGTTCCCCAAACCAGTGCAAACAGGGATCTCTTCCATGGACTAGCCCTTGCAAGATTGTGATTTAAGCCCCATGCCCATCCTAGTGCTCATGTCTTGTGGGTGGCTGGGGCTGCCCCCACATATCCCAGTGCAATCAGCCTCCTCGAGAACCTGCATGAAGCCAGGGTCTCTGCCTCTAGCCTTCTGCTCGTTTCAGCAGCTGAGCATCCTGCTGGCCCAAGCAGGAGGTCATTTTTGGGGAACAGAGCTGGGCCCACAGCTGGGCTTGTATCTGCTTGTCTACTTCAACTAAGCGCCCCTGTGGGAAGTCTCCTTCATTGAGTTAGTGGCAGTGCTTTGTGATGGATTTCCCTGCTGCAGCCCAGCTTGCTCCTCGGGGACCTGCCTTAACTCTCGAGAAGAGGCAGAGGGGGCTGCCGTACTGGCCCAGGAGGACGTTTACTGTTGGATGCCATCTGACAAAGCTATTGTAAGGATTTTTTGTTTTTGTTTTTTGCTCTCATTCTACTTAAGGGAAACTTCCTTTCTTGTCTCTGCCACTGAGGTTTCAGTGCCTAGGAGAGCTGGTGGGAGCCAGCACAGCCAGAGGCTCGGTAGGTGTGTGAAGACATGGAACACTTGCTGCCATGTTTCCCCAGCTGTGCCTTCAGGTACCAAGTGCTGAGCATTGCCCTGTGCAGCTGCTGCTGAGGGTCAGCCCTGTGCAGCTGGGAACAGGGGGGCTGGGGAGGGTTATGTAGTGGGGGCTGCATAGCTGTCAGAAGGCTTTTGATTTCACTGGTGGCTGTTGAATAGAGCTGGACGTGCATTGCTGCCTGAGCCAAGGTGTGGTGTCTGGACAGGGAGGGGGCTCTGCTCCAAGTGTTGCCAATAATCCCCAGGCAGTGCTGCCTCCTACTCAGGGTCTCATACCGGGGCTACTGGCATGGGCAGTGCACACAAGACTGAGCTTCTCACAGCAGCTCTCCCTGCCACAGGCCCTGCCCTTGCTGTCTGGAGGAGCCTTGCGGGGCGGGGGCAGGGGATTCCTGCCTGTAAGCTGTTCAAGTGCACCAAGCTGATCAGCGGGGAGAGGAGGAGAGTTGTTCCTCCCCTGTGAAGGGTTATGAGGAAGCTCCTGTGCTTTCTCCCCGCCGTGTTCTGTGCTGGAATCCTGGCTTAGACTGGGACCTGTAGGGCAAGCCTGTCATGCAATTGCTGTTAATAGCAGCATTGTCAAGGAAGGTACTGAAGAGTTGCCTCCTTAAATTCTTGGGGGATAGGATCCCTCCTCCACCTGACGGGGACTTGAACCCTGGACCCTCAGATTAAAAGTCTGATGCTCTACCAACTGAGCTAGCCGTGAGCAGGCACTGCCTCTTCCCTGGGGGAGGTAATGTATTCACTCTGCTGGTAGTACCTTGCACACTTCGTGCTGGGGGAGGCTCGGTCTGTCTTTTCTCCGTTTCAGTCCCCTTGCACACGACTGCTTTGCTGGCTCAGCTAGTCTGAAAGGGGGACCCTTCCCATTCCAGCCCTGGCACTTAGCGCTGAGTTCCATTACAGTGTGTGCCCCTCATATGCTCCTGCAGGGAGAACAGAGTCCCAGTGAGCACTCCCCTCTCTTGTTATTGTGTAAATACAAATAATGGTGCCCTGGAAGGGTGAGTGTCTCCTGCTGTTTGCAGTGACCTTGGGGTAACCTTCAGCACTGCCACATACTCAAGCTGCTGCTCCCTTCCCTGGAAGAGCTGACGGGGCTGAGCACCTTCCCTCTCTCCCCCCACCCTCCCCTTCTGTGGCGTGACTGTTCTCAGTGCCATGCTTTCCATGCTCCCTGTTCTCTTGTCTTGGATTCTCTAATGCAGAGGGATGGCTTCCATTTCCTTGGCATCTATATATAATGTACAGAATAAAGATGTTTTATTGAGACAGAACCTTGGCTGAATTGTGAAGGGGGATGGTTGAGCCTCTCCCCTACCAGCCCTCCCCAGCCACAGCCTTTTCAGTTACTACCCTCTGGTAAACAATCTGTGCTGGGGCCTGTAAGGACTGCGTATATCACGGGTTACAAGCATCCACTGGCTGCTTAGCTGAGCCTGCCCGACTGTGAGGCTAAGGTAGCTGACAGCCACGTTGCTCTGAGCACAGTTCTTATTGCAGTGGGTGGAGCTAGCTGTGTCTTATGTGTGGCAGAAGCCACAAATTCCTGCTACCCTGGAGTCTGTTTAAAGGGAGACACGATGTGACCTTCACTGGTGCTTTGACACAGCTCATGTTAATTTAAAAGCAGTATGTAACTGCGGGGGGAGGGGAATTGAGTGCAGCCTGTCATCTTTAATGTGGATGGATAATATCAATGTTTGTTTAAGCATTTTTTATTTTTATTGATCTAAATTTTGCAATGGGGGCTCAGACTAATTATTTTATGACAGTAGATGTTGAGATTCAAAAAGCTAAAGCTTTATAAACAAACTGTCAACTTGTCAAAATACACAGAGTAACTAGCCATAGTTTGAATTAAGTTCTCAAGCAGCATTTTCCTTTCTTTGCCTGTCTACGCTTTGATTATCAATGGAAATATTTTCTCAGCAGTCGGGATGCATACAGTGAAATGGATGTTTGACATTTACTGCTTCAAAAATCTAGTCCTTCCACACCCATACAGAGGAGACTAACAAAACTGGAAATGCTACAGTGTTTCTCTTTGAAGGGATTGAAGTGCAGGAGCAATTCTTGCAGCGTGCATCACTGAAGGTGACCTGCTGGACCTGTCTCCTCCCTTCCTTATCCTGACCAACACCTCAGTGGATCCCAGCTGGATGCATCTTCTCTTACTCAGCCTGTTTTCTATTTTATGGCCTGGGCCACCACCTGAGTCAGTTTCATTTCTTGATTGCCCTGCAGGAACTAGCTGTTGTGACAGCAGAGTGATGCAATCCTACCAAACAGGTTGTAATGTCTATTCAGGGGAGGGTGAAAACCCATCATTTCTTTCTAAAGTGGAGGCCTAACTTTAGTGGGAGGGTCATTTTAATTCTGTCCCTCCCAAATGACTAAGGGCAGCACTGTGAAGCAGAATTCCTTTCCTATGCTGCTACATCCCTACCTCCACCCCCCTCAAAAAAGCTACAGGAGTGAGATGGACTGGAAGGTATTAGAACTGCACTAACACCAAGGAGCATCCCAGAACAGGCTAAAGCAGCAGGCTCTGGCTGAGGCAGAGCTAGCAACTGATGCAAGAACTTGCTGTTGCAGTTGAGCTAATGGGGGAAGGGAAGGGAAATAATCATGCAAATACAGCTGTAGCCTGCTCCCTGCTATCTACACTCAGCAGTAGGATCCTGAGGCTGTCCAGCTGCTGCTCACTTAAGGAGAATCCCACAGCTGATGAAACTGCCTGCAAGGCTAGAGTTTACGAACCACACCCAGAGCTGCTTTTCCCACACAGTACTAAATTCAACTGCACGGCAGTGACTAAGCCTCAAGAAATCATCTACTGGAGGGTTATTTCCCTGTTCACTGAGCTCTGTGCTAGCAGTGCAGGGTGATAGCTCTCCTCAGTCACTGAATGCACTACAGTCCAGCTCTCAGTTCAGGCTTGTTCCCTACACATTCTAGTGCTGTCTGCTCTGCTGCAAGGGTGGTGAGTGCCAAGCCAGCCCTTTCCATCCCCCCAAGGTGAGCTATCACTCCCCAGCCTGCCAGCAAAAGTCCCAAAGATCTTTGTAGCCTCCTTGGTGCAGCAGGGGAGAACTGGGCCAGTAACAAGGGGCCGTAGAGCACATTGTTTTCATGCTTGGGGTAAAGGACATACTTTTAGAAGTAACATAAACTGAGTGACGTGGCCTCTGAGGGACTCTTAGCCCATTCTCCTCTTCCCCTGCAAGCAGTGGGTTTGATTTTGGAAGAACATGATTTTCAAGTCTCTTTGCCCTCCCCCCAAAGGGCTCTAGTTCTGGACTTCAGCTACACCCCCATCATTACTGGGGTCAGGGGACACTGGCATAGGGCCTCACAGATCCACTGAGCTCTGGGGCCTTGCTGCTCAGGCCATCTCACAGGAAGCACATGTCTCTTCTGAGTGAGGGGTGCCTTGTGTGTATCAGAGCCCAGCTCTGTGCTGATGCTACTGTAATGGCTTGTAGGCTGCAGGTGCTATTTGACCCTCCTCACCTGTAGTGCTCTGCCATAATCTACAATGCAATGCACTGTACCATGCCTTGGCTTCCCTGCCTTGAGAGGAAGAAAGGCCTGCACAGTATGCTGGCATGCCATGGCTTTGAAAAAACCTCCCTAAAAGGGGTCTAGAGCTAACATACTTGTCCCAGAGGAGTGGATCACATCCCTCCATACATGAGGCTATGCTGACAGAACAAAGCTGTAGATGAGAGGTGGGAAAATTGCAGCCCGCAGGCCACATCCAGCCTGGCCCTTGAGCCCCTGGCCACGCCCCTGCAGTCTCAGCTCACTGTGCCGCCAGCACTCTGGGCAGTGGGGCTGTGAGCTCCTGCCAGGCAGCACAGCTGCAAGAGCGACCAGCCTGCCCCCATGCTCTAGACTGCATGGTGGCATAGGTGGCTCCGCCTAGGCAGCACATCTGTCAGTCCTGGTGCACTGAGCAGCATGGTAAGGGGGCAGTGAGCAGGGGCATTAGATAAGGGGCAAGGGGTCCCAAGGGCAGTCAGGGGACAGGGATTGGTTGGATAAGTGTGGGTGTGTGGATAAGAGTCGGGGGGGGTGGAGTCCCAGAGGGGTTGGATGGGGGTAGGGGCCAAGCTGTTTGGGGTGGGGGGAGAGAGGTAGCCTTCCCTACCTAGCCCTCCATACAGTTTCAGAACCCCAGTGTGGCCCTCAGGCCAAAAAGCTTGCCCACTCCTGCTGTAGAGCATCACTGGGCCCCTGGAGACTCCTTAGCACTGATAGCAGCTTCTCAGACAGGACTGATTAGAGAAACTCCCCCTATGCTGTAGGATGTTGGTGAAGGAGTGTGGAACGTAGGGCTCAGCTACATTGCCCCACTCCCTGCCCCAGTAGCAAGGAGTGGAGGTACTATACTAGATAACTAGAATAGTCAGACAAGAAGGAAGATCCTGTGGTTAAGGCACTGCAGGGGTTACAGCTCTCGCTGAGGCAATCACTATCCCTCTGGGCTGTAGCTCCCTAGCTGTAAAATGGGGATACTGACACTTCCCAACTCCCAGGAGCATTGCAAGTGTAAACATCCATTACTGTTTGCAGAGCAAAAATGCCTAGTGATGGGACCATGGGAACACCTGATCACTATGCATGCTGTGCCATCCTGACACTGTTTCTGTCAGCATCAGCACCTAGAGGCAGGAGAACTGTTACCAGAATCTGCCAAGTGAAAAGGTGGGTGCATTTCCCTGCTGTGTTTCCCCAAGAGCCTCATTAGGTTCCAGACATTTATTATGCAATCTTTGGATAAAAGTTCTTTACAGAAAGGATAAAAACTTCACAAATCACTCAACTTCAGGCTAAAATGGTCCTGGAGCTCCTAGGGGGGCAGCCGTTTAAAGAAGAACTCCAGAGTCCTGGTCACTCCTTGCCTGGGTCGCTTTGCACTGGAGCCACCAGGGCTCTTGGCTTTGCTTTTGCTCTTGGCAGGAGAACTGGAAGCAGCAGCAGGGGCCCTGAGGGGGCTGGGTTCAGAGAAGGAGCTCTGCAGCTCCACAGCAAAGTGATAGTCCATGTGCTCCAGGAGCTCCCACACTGGCACCTGCTGGCCACACTTTTCACAGTGCAGCTGGTCTGGTGAGCTGGCAGGGCCTTGTGAAAACCCAGCAGAAGATGGCAAACTCTGCTCCTTCCACTCAGGGAGCTGGGAAGCAGCTGTTCCAGCTGATTCTGTTTTCAGAGTGCTCCTAGAGGCTGGGTCAGCAGAGGGCGTTTCTGCAGGATAAGGGAGCAACTCCTCAGAGGGAAGCAGTCTGTATGGGGAAGGGGAGCTGCCATCCTTGGGACTGTGCCTCGCAAGGGCTTCTGGAGTCTGACTCTTGCCGAGGATGAGACCGTCTCTCTCACTCTGGCCACAGGGATCAGGCACTGACAACTCTGCCTCTGCACTGGGGACACTAGGCAGGCAGGGCCCTGTGGCCACACGGGCTCGCTGCCTTTCTGCTGCCTTCCGGAAAAAGGACTCAATAGCATTGATGGGCTTCTTGCTGGGCTCTTTTCTTGGGCTCCCAGTGCACTTGACATTTGGGCTGGTTGCATTGGTGCCAGCTGGCAGGGTACACTGGGCATCACTGGTCAGGAAGGCAGCAATGCCTGCAGGAGAGAGCGTGGGAGCCTCAGAAAATTTGCTTGCGTAGATATGCAGAAATGTAAGCGGAGGGGACCTATGGAGAAAAGCAGATTAGCAGCAGCTCAAACCCAGCCAAAGAAGTGTGAAGCCTTTCAAGGCAGGATTTAAGTCAGTGTGTCAGGTTTCACTGGGCATGGTGACAGTGCAGCAGCTGAGACAACAGGACATTGGTGGGCTGGTAGGGGAGGATGTTTTAGTCATGCCTGTTGGCCAAACACTCGTACCCCCTCCTCCTCCTCGTGACTTTGCAGTAAGAGGCCTGGGCGCTGCAGATTGCCTGTGTCCCTGCCAGGAGCAAAGCAGCGCTTCCTTGAGGAATGTGACTTGAGCAGAGGGACTTGCCAGGCCCCCTGGATTCTGGCAAGGAGCCTGAACCCTCAGTCCCATCTGCCAGGGGTGGGAGCTCCTGCAACTCTCAGGCTCCCAGTCAGGGACAAGCTGTCCTGAAGGAGTCACTGCGGTGTGCTGGGCACACCTCATCCTCCTGCCCAAGCTAGGACATGAAAGTGGAAAGGAAACAGGTTGTACTTAAAGTGCTTTTATTTTCCCCCCCATGCCCTCTCTGCCCAACAAGCATCTTGTCCCCCTGACCACCAGAGCACAGCCATTCTCTTCTGGCTATCCCAGGGATGATGGCACCCTGAGTACAAGCCAGCCAGGTACTCACGGTGCAGCAGTACAGCTCAGTTCATTCCAACTCCAGAGGAGCACAGCCCTGCCCCCCTTTCTATTGGCACCACCCAGATGCTGAAGGTGGAAGTTAGCACTGCATGGTGGGGGTTTGGGGGAGGACGATGCTCAACAGCTGCCCTTCTGGGTGGGTAGTGCTCACCTGCAGCTGAGCCTAGGACAACATGTGCCTTGTGTCTTCCAGCTCTGAGGGCCCCAGCTCTCTCTGCCAGAGCCAGCTCCTTCCAAATTCAATCCCTGCTCCTGTCTGTATTCAGCACAGCCCCTTTGTCCTGCATGTGTCATCTCCCAGGGCACAGCCCAGCCCCCCTCCTCCAACACACCAACCTTGAGGCCAGGAAGGGGAACTGCTCACCATGCAGCCTGCTGGGCTCCAGCCACATTGCAGTTTCGGATGATCATGAAGGCATCACTGCTGATCTTGTGGGCGTCATAGCGGGGCAGGGCACAGCAGCGTGACAGGCCACTCGCTCGCTGATCACCTAGCATGCGGATGCTCACAGTCAGCTGTTTGGCCACCCGGCAGTTCTGCAGAGAGAGGACACAGCTGCAGTACAGGGCAAAGCAGTGAATGCCAGGAATGTGCTCAGAGAGGCGCTCAGCCTGGAGCACTGCACTGCCAGCCAGTAACTTTACAATCCAATGCCACCACCTGTCCTGGCAGGATCAGCTGCTGTCTGTCACCATCACAGTCTGAGGTGGATACCGAGTGTGTGAGGGGCTCATACACCTTGTGCATGTATCGGGGGAGGGGGTGTCATCCCTGCTTCCAGCCCTACACAGGTACGTTCCCCTTTATCCACATCACAATACAGCACAGCTGCCAGGTTAATCTCAGCCCTGGCCAGCAACATAGGATCCATGGGTTATAAAGCAGCTCGTTCACTTTTAGTGGTGTAGGGCAGGGCTCCCAGAAGTGAGCCAGCAGAAAGCGCATGCTAGGACTGAGGTGCACAGAGAGGAAGCTGCCTGCCCCAGCACACTCATCCCCTCGTGTACCTAATGCTCGCATTCATTAAGGGAGGGGAGAGGAGGACAGTGGTTAGCTCAGGGTATTTTTGGGTCAGGCCCTCCTACAGCACCTTTCCCTCTCTGGGTCCTTCCTCACTTCTTAACTCAGTCAGCCAGCAGCTGTGCATTTGAATGCAGGGCAACTTCCTCTGCCATTCACCACAGTCACCACATCCCCCAGGCTGGTGTCAGACAGCTCAGGTAGCGAAGACCCTGCTGCCTCTGGCCCAGCCCCACAGCAAGAGAGGCAGAAAACCCTCAAGCCCCGCCTTACTTGGTCTCTGTCCTTGCTCAGTCTCTCCTCTAGCTCCAAGGCCATCTGCAGGAGCCAGTGCTGCACCTGCAAGCAGGACACAGCAGCATTTGATACAGCCCCAGGACATCCCCACACACATCCAAGCAGCTGCTGTTACAGGACCTGGAAGTCAGCCCTGAACATCACCACACTCGGCAAGCTGCTGACAGCCAGAGCCCCAGGCAGTGAGGAACATTCAAGGGGCACTTGGCTCAAACTAGGACCACAAGGTCAGTTTCTTACAAACCTCAAGATCACCACAAATGCTTCCAGAAAATCAATAAACCCAGGGGAGACGGGGTTTAGATTTAATCTGAGATGCATCCACCATGCCCCAGAATCTAGAGCAGTGGTCTCCAAAGTTTTTGGATCGTGCACCCCCACTATGCCACCGAAGAAAGAAGAGCGGAAGACCTGCTGTGGACATGCCGCCGGAGGGGAAGAGCTGCTGCCGAAGAAAAAAAACGGCGGAGTGCCATCCGGCGGCACTCCTCCTGCCGCACACCGCCTGGGATCCTCTGGCGCACCCCACTTTGGAGACCACTGATCTAGAGCATCCCAGATATTGCAGCACGTCAGTGCTGGGAATCTGAAAGGGACAGAACTTCTAGTGACATTGTCCCAGGCCAAGGGAAACGCAGCAAGTGCAGAAATCCTGTAGATTTTTAGAACCGTCTTCACTCCCACCTTCTCAGCTGTTAGTAACACAAGGAAGGACAGAGTTTCTAACATGACAATGTCCATTTAAATCTGGATCTGAAAGCAGGCTGGGAGATTCAGAGCTCAGCTTTGTGCTGCTCTATCATATGGATGCTTAGAGAACCCTCTCGCACCTTGCCCAAAGACAAGGTGCCCTCCAGTATGGGCCCAGCTGATGTGGGTGGCATTTGTGTTAGCAGCAGGTTTACACCACTTGCACTGCTGCAGTCACACAAGGACTTTCATTCCATCCAGGCATTTAAAGGCTCCTTTCCAGCAGGAATCTGGATTCCCCTTGGAGAAGAGACTTAGTAACAGAAGGCCAGCAATCCTGACAGACGCAGCTAGATGACAGGGAATTTCAGCAGCACAATCCGTTAGCGGTCTTCATCCAAGCTCCCACTAGGTGCAGTTAACCAAGGCAGACTGAAAAGCAGCAGGAGCACATCTTGTAGCGAAGGCAAAGGCAGAATATAGTGTACAGGACATTCTCATCCTGGCGCATCCACGTGCTCCCTCAGGCACAGCAGGACCAAGGGGATAGAAATCCATCAGTGCCAAGAAGGGATTGTACGCACAGCTGTGGAGAGGACAGGATAAAGGAACACTCCCTCCCCTCACTCCACACTGACCAGTGTGCTGTAGAGTATGAAGGGCTGAGAGACTCCTGTTCCCTGCTGACAGAGGGAGATGTAAGGTGTTTCCCCAAAGGAATTACACAGCTGCTGGTGCACAGACTCTACGAAGCCTAAGAGCCCGATTTCAGGGCGCTGCATTCAGCATGGTGAAATGCAGCAGCTCTTGCAACACAGTCTGAGCCCAGAGGGAGGGGGCTGCAGCCTGTGGAATGGATCAATGGCTATCCCTATCTCAGGTCCAAACCAGTTCTGCTCAGGAGATCTCACGCTCTCTTACCTGCTTCTGAGTGGTCAAGGCTGCTTTCCCAGGGAAATTCTTGCTGCATCCAATGGACTTAGGCAATTGCCTAGGTTTCACAGGTTCCTGTTCAATTCCTCTGCACAGATCATAGAGCCAGGACCTGAAAGTCCCACACGAGGTTTGAGATTAAGGCTGATAATGGTCCATCTCTCCTCCTGAGCTCACTGAGGATTCAGATCAGGAAGACCTCATGGCTCCTGCACACCTGCATGTGAAACTAGGCCCCAGGGACTCCTGGGGCAGTGCACACAGGCAGGGTTCAGGGATAACTTTCTGTTCTAAACCCAGCCAGCCACTTGAATTCTCCTGGCCTAGACCTGCCTAGGCAGGCAGTTAGATAAACCACACAATGGGCCCCATGGGACTCACCCCTTAGCACAGAGTCCTTTACTCCTGCAGAGTACTGCACAGGTATTATCCAACAGCTATGACCTCAACTGCATCTCACACTGGCCGCATCTGGGGCTACAGAGCTAGGTGACTTCAGCTAGCTGAAGCAACGGGCTGCTTCTCTGCTTGGCCATTTTAAACTATATTCAGGTGATGGTTCCAGCTCCCCAGGCAGCTGCAATGGCAGCCAGCAGCAGATTTCATTCAGCTACTAATGGGGAAATACCTTACAGCAGTTATTGCTCAAGTGCCCCAACTCCCTCCCTACAACAGCAGCATTCCCTAGACTAGAGGTTCCCAGCCACTGCTCTGTGCATTGGACATTTCAGGCTTCAGACTGGTTTCCTAAGCTCCCAGTGCCCAAGCTTGGGACTGGTATTCCTAAGCTCCCAACACTTAAATGATGAGCCTCCGTGCTGGGCCTGAGCACTGTTGCCTCCCATTCCATCTTCTCTAACCTGCTCCGGAGCTTGAGTTGCGTCCCTGGAGCAGCACATACTCCACAGCAGCATACAGGGGACAGCTGAATGAAAAACAAGCGCTTAGCCTTGGGAGGATAGACAGGTGCTTGGAAAGATCAAAAGCCAGTTCACATGCCTAGCAGACCATTACAGGACACTGTCTCAATGCCATCCTGAAAAGACCCAGACAGAAACTCTCCTGCGCAACAACCTCAGCAGAATGGCCTACAGATCTACTCATGAAGAGGAGGGAGAACACAAGCCTATTATCCTATGGAGACCTGCAGCCTAGAAGCCAGCATGTTACCTACCCAGTCTTGTCTCCGAAGTGAGTTTGGAGCTGTGACTCGCTGAATAGGGTCAGCTGCCCCATGTACTCCACTCCCAGTACGTCTGCGATGGAGGCACCCAGCTTCCCTCCCAGGTGCCGGCTGCAGGAGAAAGAGGAAACATAGAAGAGAACTGTCACATGGAGACTGAAGCATGTTCAGCACACCCCAGCTCCCATTCACTGGCAGGAAGCAGGATAGGTGAGGGAGCAGCGCTGGCTGGCCAGACTCCTTTACTGAGGAGCAACACATGATGATTCCAGTGAGGATGGGACAGCTCATCAATTCCTAGCCTGAGATGTGGTCGCATAGGAACAGGGAGAGAAAAGGCAGAAATGCACAAAGGCAGCACCCCAGCACCCACCCTTGCTTAAAATCTATTTGTTCACTCACTCTTCCCTGCCCTCTCCCCAGATCTAGCCATTCCTATGTGGGCAGGAAAGACCCCAGGAGTAGCTGCCTGAAGGCAGATGCTAACTTTGCAGCTCTGGAGCACGGCTTCCGACTGGAAAAGTTGGTGGTTACTTTTTCAGCTCCAACACTGTTCCCGAGACATTGTTCATAGTAGATTGTGCAGATGTTCAGAATATGACCGTGCATGTTCTCCAGGCTCCTGGTGCTCAGCTCCCCAACACTAAAGTCTGAATACACCAAGCATGAGGAGTCTGCATGTTTCCACTTGGTGAGCCTTGCATGTTGTCCAACTGCACTTCTTGAGCTTAGCTACACCTTAGGAACAGGTTCAAATGATGCCAATTGAACTCTGGTAGGCCTTTTGGGCTTGCCTCCTTCATTGGGGAAGGAGCGAATGATAGCATCTCCCAAACCAGTCACTCACGGTGTCAGAATGAGCGGTCATGCTCAGTAAATTGTGCAGATCTTCCCAATAGGATCCCCTTTCTCTTTTCTTGCATGCTTTAACGAGCAGTGAAGTAGTTAATATTTTAAGGGCTTGTCTACGAACAATTAGTTCTCAGCAAGCTACGGTGTGAATTGACCCTGCAATTAGCTTGCCACGCAAAAACCATCTGGTAATGCGCTTTATCTATTCCCGTTTTAAAGTGCACTAAGGAACTGTTTAGTGAGCGTAAACAGGGTCCAGACAGCGTGCAGTGAGGTAGATTCATACCCCAGCCTGCCGCAAACTAAATGTTCATGTAGACAAGCCCAAAATGTCTACATCATCATCACTGGGCATCTGAATTAGCCCTCACTGAGCTGAATAGGGCAGTTCACACCTCTCCAAGATATTCAACTGAGTTTTGCACGCAGAGTGAGCATGAACTAAAATGTGCATCTTGGCAACCAGACCAGCTAGAGATTATTTTTTAAATGAAAGCTTAAATTCTGGTGAACAAAGCAGCAGCATGAAAGAGGGGCTGATACACTCTACTGCCAGGTGCCAGCTCAGTCCAAGTCCCGGGTTCAGCGAAAGCACGATTCCCCAATACTTACATGCTGCTGATGGGCATGTGGCTGAAGAGCTGTGAGACAGATCCCTGGGATACCAGCGTCTGGCGGTTGGGCTTGTTCAGCCCACAGGCCAGTTTTGCCAGTGCCTGAAATATGGAAGAGTGTGGAAACCCCATTACTGCAAACCCCACATGCTTCTAAAAGACTGCCTACTAGGTTCTGCAGTAGAGCCCCCAGCTAATAGCTGAAGGGCTCTCTCTAGGCTTTAGGATTCCACAGCATCTTCCATAGGCACAGCTCTGTTGAGGACAAGATTCAGGTTCTATCGCTCTTCACTCCCCATTATTAACTACCACAGGATCTGAACTGTGCTGGCTAAACTGTCTTTAAACACAATGTCAACTGCAACAGTCTAGCTCTGAGAAGAGAGTCAGAACCCTGCTTTAGACAGTTTAGAGGACTCAGTGTGTTTAGCATGGTTGTGCTGGCTCAGTTCTGGTCAGGAAACTGTGCTAAAATCCCAAGAGCAGCCCTCACACTCCTGCCCTACTACCCACCCCATGCCTGTTTTCTCTGTCTGGGCCTCTCCTCTTCCATCCTCGCTGCTCCTGTCTTGCTCTTTCTTGCTGTGTCTCCTTTAGTCTTCTCTCTGCAAGGTCAGCAGCAACAGAGTGCTACAGAAGGAAACCTACAAGATGCTAGTCAGTAAAAGGTGTCACAGTTAATGCAGCAGGAAACTCAGAGCTGCAGTATCGGAGTGAGTCAGTTCCCCTTTGCAGCTGGTTGTGTGTGTGTTCCTGTGGTTGCTGCTGGTGGTTGGTTGTACATTACCCAAAGCACATCCACCAGACAGGAAGACCAGAAAGCCAACCTGACCCACATCACATCAGCATTCGTGGGGTGGGATGTGGGGAGGAGGGGAGACACTGAACTAGGGTTCTTTCTGTCCAATTAAACAGGAGTTTACACCAGTAAAGCCCTCCTATGGGCACAGAATATGTCTCCTCATTCTCGGAAGGAAACACACACTTTAAGATCAGTCATTTCTAGCGAGGACTCTCTCCTGAGCACTTTAAAGTGCTTTTCCACAGTGAGTTGACTGCTCGGGATATGCCAGAAAAATCAGAGCCCTGGCCAGTAAGTGAATCCGGTTCTAGGTAGTTTACATCTAAACAGTACTGGGCACACATTACAGCCTATCCCCATGCTTTATTTTCAACTACATGCGTTTAAATGTGGCCATGATGTTCCATTCTGCTCAGATTCCATCAGATGGTGACTCTGATGGTTTCATTTATTTTACTGCATAATCAAAGTACACCACTTGAAACAAAACCACCCGATTGTGTTACACACACCTTGTTGTGTGAAATCCCAGCTGAACACCTCAGTCCAGTAACTGCTTCCACAGCTGCCCTCATTTCCTCCACAATTACTGCTCCTACTGTCAGCTGCAGCTCTGGACAGCTGATGTCAGCAAAAGGCAGCGACTCAAGCCATTGGTGCAAGCCACACTGCCGCAGATCCTCTGAAAAAGAGCACAAAGGGGATTAAAGCCCAACACAGCAAGGAGCGTGGTGGTTTTAGCAAGCTAGAATGAACAGTGGCCACACACTTGTCATTGCACCTTTATTCCATGGTCAAGAGGTAAGCTCCCTGCACCAGTGCATTTAGAAGAGGAGAAATTCTATTTGCCAGACACCTCCTTTGGAAAAAGGAAAGCAAGTCACTTTCCTGCCAAACAATTGAAACAGACAACTACTTCCCAACTGCACCAATAGGAGCTGGAGAAGGAGATGGAGATGAGGTAAGACTTTCACACACAGCTCTCTGCTTCAAAAAAAAAAACAAAAAACCTGAAACAGACTAAATGAGTTTGCTCTAGATAAGACCCAAGTTTGTAGGTACATTTGTCCAGATCTGCAAAGTGCTCAATTATTTACATGAACAACAGTGCTCCCAAGTGGTTGTTTGGGTACATTTCAGCCCATAGATGTTTTCTTTTGAAAATGAAACTTTAGTCTGAATTTGAGCTTCAGCACCAGATCATGGATAACAGAGCCCTGGGACCAGACACTCTGCATGGCAAGTAAGGATTAAAGAGGTTGGGAAGGGCCAAACAGGGAAAAGGGACTCTAGAAATCTTTTCCCAGACTCTATTTGCAATGCTGGCCTTTCACAGTCACAAGTAAGTCGTCTTTCACCTGTTCCTTAGGACAGCCTTGTTTCCCTTGCATTAGGGCATTTCTACACTGTGAGGCCTGCATTTTACTTTCTCTTTGACACGAACTGCAGTGTAGGGCAATTTCATTTTACCCTCACTTTCTTTAGAGCTGAAGGGAAATAAACTAAGATGAAAAGCAAAAAGGAACTGCTTAACTCCAGGAAAAGAAGCAGCATGTGCCTGGTGGCTTGACATTACCTTTGCAATCCACACTCTTATTCTTTGCTGCTGTTGTAGAGACATTTGGCAGTCCCTGGATGTAAGTAGTTGGCAGCCGCTCTGCTAGGATAGGCTGCCCTTGCATCTTTTTGAGCCTCTCTTGCACAGCGCTACTCAGGTCCATGTAGGCTTCATCAATGCTGGCACGCTCAATCACAGCAAAGCGCGACATCACTTTCATCACCTCTACACTGGCCTCTCGGTATCTGCAGCAGAGGGACATAAGGAGCTCAATCTTTGTCATGCACCTGGGACTCAGCGGCCTCTCAGCCCACGGTGTCTCTTTCCTTTTGTCTCTCCGTCCAACTTCCCTACTGGCTGAGACCTAGCCAACCACTTGGGCTACTGAGCAGCTGGTTTAATGGATGTGCTCCTCTCCCAAAGCTAAGTTTACGTTTTGCATGAATATCTTAGCCCCACTATTCAATGACACTAGTCTGACCCTCATGTGGATGAGCTCAGAGGCTGAAAGTCTGGGCACATCTCAGTTGGGTTTTCTAAATATGAGGTTAGTATCGGGGAAGGGTCTGCCCTGATAGATTCAGACACTGAAGGCTAATCTACAGTGAGAAGTTACACTAGCATAGTTCCATCTCTCAGGGGTGCCAAAAAACCCACAGTCCTAAGAGATGTTACTATGCCAACCTAACCCCTGGTGTAGACACAGCCAGCCGATGGAAGGAGTCTCCCAGCAACCCAGCTATTGCCTCTTGGAGAGATGAATTAATGACACTGATGCAAAAACCCCTTCCGTCGATGCAGGAAGCATCTACGCTCAGGCTACGATGACCTTTCCAGTGGGGCTACGGCTACACCACAGAGCTTACAGTGGCGCAGCTGCACTGTTGTAGCACCACTAGTGCAGACGCTCTAAGCCAACGGGAGAGCGCTCCTGTCAGCTTCATTCCCCCAGCCCCCGTGAGCAGCGGTAGCCATGTCAAGTGCTGTCCACACCAGGGCTTAGGTCTGTGTCATTTATGTCGCTCCGGGGGGTGGCTTATTCACACCCCTGAGGGACATAAATTATCCCAAGCTAAGCTGTAGTGCACACATAGCCTCTGCCGCTCCCTGCCTGGGCCCTAGCACAGACCCGGGTCGTGGCTGGGACAGCCTTAGCGTAGGTTTCCCACTCTTCCCTCGCCTCCTGAAACCCGGGCCCTCTCTGGTCAGCGTCTCCTAGCGCCCAGGAGGGAGGGACCCCGACCCTGCAGCAGGGCGCGCGGCGCTGCACACACGCCCAGGGGGCCCCGGGCTCGCCTCACCTGCTGAGGTCCGCCTTCCCGTAGGCCTCCGGGACCCGCGCCAGCACCAGCTGCGGGCAGCGCTTCTGGGCCTCGTCCGCCCGCATGCCCCGGCTGATCCCGAAGGCGCGCGCCTCGTAGCTGACGGCGATGATCCTGCGGGGAGACAGTGCAGAGAGTGGGGCGGGGCGGGCCGGGCCGGGCGGGGGCCGCGGGAGGGGTGGGGGAGGGGAGAGGCAGCACGTACCCGCCGCCCCGCCACGCGTCGTACTGTACCACGGCGCAGGGCTGGCCCCGCAGCCGCGGCTCCCGGCGCTGCTCCACCTGCGCGAAGAAGCAGTCCATGTCCACCAGCGCCACCACGCGCTCCCGCCCGCGAGACATGGCCCCCTGGCCTCGCGAGCGAGCGAGCGAGCGCGCGCCGGGAAAAGTCAACGGCTACGGCTCAAGCCGACCGCGCCCGGCGGCAGTTTGTTTTGCTCCCCGCCCCCGCCGTGACGCCGCGCGCGGTCTGCTGGGAGCTGTAGTCCCCGCGCGCAGCAGGATGAGGGCAGGAGGCCCGCGGTGCATGCTGGGAACTGTACTTCCCGCGGAGGGGGCTGGCGGTGGGTTGCTCTCGCGCCCCGGTGATATAAGCTCCCTCTTCCGGTTCGGAGAACTGGCGCGGTATGTGCGGCTGCTTGTGATTGGATCACCGGACATTAAGGAGTCAGGACAGGGGTTGGCGCAAGCGCGTTACCATGTCCCCAATCGCCGCCGCCGACGTTATCCTCCCTTCGCGCATGCGGTTTCCCTCCTTCAAGCGTCGCGCGGTTCACTTGGCGCATGCGTAGAAGCCTCCCGGTTCCCGTTGCACATGCGTAGTATGTAGAGCCATCTTGGTCCCAGGCGCGCCTGCGCACCGCCTCCTTCCCTCTCCCGGTGTGGTAGCCCTTGGTCCTCGCCTGCTCGGTCGCCCCGCGCGGACCTTGCCCCGCCCGGTGCCGCCATGTCCGCGGAGCAGGTGAGCAGCCTGTGCGAGCAGCTGGTGAAGGCGGTGACGGTGATCATGGACCCGGCCTCCACCCAGCGCTACCGCCTGGAGGCGCTCAAGGTACCAGGGCAGCGGGGTCCGCGTGGGGCGGCCGGGCTCAGCGCTGCCCGCTCCCCACCGGGGTCCTGGCCCGGGGCAGTGCCGGACCCCCGGGCCCCAGATCCCGGGGAGCACAGTGATACACCCCCCGCCCTGAAACCTGCCCCCCCCACCCCCGCCCGATCCGTAGCCTGGCTCTGCCCCCTGTGCAGGGTTCAGCCCATGGGTCTGCTCCGGGACAGCACGTGTCCGATACCCCTGAATTCTGCCCCCGCCTGAGCTGGGTTCCCCAGTCTCCGTCTGTGGGCTCGCCCTGCCCCGTGGCATGGAGAGCTGGCAGCCTGCATTGCCTTTAATCCCTGTGCAGGTGTTTAGGGGCCCCAGTGATACGCTCTAGTAAAGGTCTATAGAGACAGGCAGTTCCCCAGGCTGGGATTTGCTGCAGCACCTTTCCCAGAGTGAATATGAATGACCCTGAAGTTTGTCTCTTTCAGGGCTGGTCAGGGGGGTCTGAAGAGCATCAGAGACTCTCTTTCTGCTGCTAGAGGCGCTGAAAGTAGCCTGTAGCCTCAGGAAGGCAGCTCACGGTATTGGGCCACAAAGGGAAAGTATTCCCAGATAATGAGGATTTGAGACACTCGATGTGAAGCTGAAATTGTACAGAAATTGTTTGCTTAGCCTCCTGTGCTTTCCAGGGAGAGTTCACCACTTGCAGTGGGCAGTTTTGAAGCTCTGTTTTTCCTCTTTTCTCCAAATTGTCCTAATGTTTCACTTTTCCCACGCTCATTTCCATGTTGCCACTTGATAGTTTTTGGCTCATTGTTATCCTTGTTCCTTTTCAGTTCTGCGAGGAGTTTAAGGAGAAGTGTCCCATCTGTGTCCCCTGTGGTCTGAAGCTGGCAGAGAAAACCCAGACAGCCATTGTCAGGCACTTTGGTCTTCAGATCTTGGAGCATGTGGTCAAGTAAGGGAGCTCACTTGGGCTGCATGGTTTTGGTGCTATCCTAAACTATGGAGAGAGAACAGGCCTGTCATGTCACAGTTGTCAGTGCAAATTATTGTTCCCAGATGTCCGTCCGTTGGTTACAGGAGTGGACAGGGTGTCAGGAGATTTGGGGTCTGTACTGAGCCCTGTCATTAACTCACTGGGTGACCTGAGGGGGCAAGTCACTTCCCATCTCTGTCCTTGTCTCCCTATGTTTAAAATGAGGGTAATAGCAAACACTGCAAGAGGGGCATGCAGGTTAATTCATTGCATAGATCTTAGACAAAAGATGCTGGAGACAGGCAGGGAAAGTATTATCAGTAGATCACTGTAAAGTTCTCTGCCACTAATTTCAGATTAATAAAAGTACTTCTTCACTATACAATTTGGAGATCCTTCTCTCTTGGCTCCACAAACCCAATATTTTGTGCTCTTGGTCCTTTTCCTGTAGATGTTAACGAATCCTGCACGTTCCCTGAGCTGTGCTGATCTCGGTGCAGATGCTCTAACTGGGCTGTAATTTTAGCTTCAGCCAATAATGTTGCTCAGTAAGGGATTGGGTATTGGCAGTGCAAATGAACGATGCAGCCTCAGCCTCCCTGGCTTGGGCAACGGGCTGATGGATTTCTAAAACAAGTCAGTGATCTGTGCCAGCGTATTGACTTGGTGCCCTCTGTGTGTTTTGTTGGACAGGTTTCGCTGGAACAGCATGCCTCGCCTCGAGAAGGTCTATCTGAAGAACAATGTCATGGGGCTTATATCCAATGTAAGTGCTGGCTGCCTCCAGGGCCAAACCACCATATGGAGCAGACTCATAGACTTTAAGGCCAGAAGGGACCATCATGATCATCTAGTCTGACCTTCTGCACCCTACAGGCCACAAGAGCTCACCCCCCCTGCTCCCGTAATAGACCCATAATCTATGGCTAAGGGACCATGACTAAGGCTATGTTTTAGTCACAGATATTTTTAGTAAAAGTCTTGGACAGGTCACAGGCAGTAAACAAAAATTCATGGCCCGTGACCTGTCCATGACTGGTACTATATACTCCTAACTAAAACTTGGACAGGGGGCTGCGGGTGCTCTCAGGGGGCAGTCTGGGGGTGCCACAGGTGCTGGGGGGATGGCCCGGGAACCCGCTGGTGCTGCGGGGCAGGGGAGGGTTGGCAGGGCTGGCAGGCTCCTTACCTGGCTTCACATGTCCCTGCAGCCCCTAGGGGTGGAGTAGGGAAGGCCAGGTGCACTACATGCTCTGCCCTCGTCATGAGCTCTGGCTCTGCAGCTCCCATTGGCAAGGAACTGCAGCCAATGGGAGCTGTGGGGGTGGTGCCTGCAAACAGTGACAGCGCACAGCGCCCCCTGCCCTTCTGTCTAGATCAGGTAAGTGCCACCCCACATCCCAACCCCCTGACCCAGCCCTAAGCCCCCTCCCACACCTAAACTGCTGCCATTGCTGGTGACCTTCCAGAGAGTTCAGGCAACCCCTGAGCCAGCCGCACCAAAAATCACCAAAGTCACAGAAAGAAAAGGAGTACTTGTGGCACCTTAGAGACTAACCAATTTATTTGAGCATAAGCTTTCGTGAGCTACAGCTCACTTCATCGGATGCATACTGTGGAAAGTTTAGAAGATCTTATTATATACACACAAAGCATGAAAAAATACCTCCTCCCACCCCACTCTCCTGCTGGTAATAGCTTATCTAAAGTGATCACTCTCCTTACAATGTGTATGATAATCAAGTTGGGCCATTTCCAGCACAAATCCAGGTTTTCTCACCCCCACCCCCCCCCACACACAAACTCACTCTCCTGCTGGTAACAGCTTATCCAAAGTGACCACTCTCCTTACATTGTGTATGATCATCAAGGTGGGCCATTTCCAGCACAAATCCAGGGTTTAACAAGAACGTCTGGGGGGGAACAAGGGGAAATAGGCTACCTTGCGTAATGACTAAGCCACTCCCAGTCTCTATTCAAGCCTAAGTTAATTGTATCCAATTTGCAAATGAATTCCAATTCAGCAGTTTCTCGCTGGAGTCTGGATTTGAAGTTTTTTTGTTTTAAGATAGCGACCTTCATGTCTGTGATTGCGTGACCAGAGAGATTGAAGTGTTCTCCGACTGGTTTATGAATGTTATAATTCTTGACATCTGATTTGTGTCCATTTACTCTTTTACGTAGAGACTGTCCAGTTTGACCAATGTACATGGCAGAGGGGCATTGCTGGCACATGATGGCATATATCACATTGGTGGATGTGCAGGTGAATGAGCCTCTGATAGTGTGGCTGATGTTATTAGGCCCTGTGATGGTGTCCCCTGAATAGATATGTGGGCACAGTTGGCAACGGGCTTTGTTGCAAGGATAGGTTCCTGGGTTAGTGGTTCTGTTTTGTGGTATGTGGTTGCTGGTGAGTATTTGCTTCAGGTTGGGGGGCTGTCTGTAGGCAAGGACTGGCCTGTCTCCCAAGATTTGTGAGAGTGTTGGGTCATCCTTCAGGATAGGTTGTAGTTGTAGGTTGTATCCATGCCTTCCGTGACCAATACATGCAGCCTTAACCATAACCTCTGGCTGAGAGTCCCACGACCTCTTGCGGAGCTCTTTCACTTTGTTGAGGTGGCACATGAAAGTGAGGAGGAAGGATGACCTTGTGGTTAAAGTACAGGAGGCCTGAGTTCAATTCCAGACTGTGCCCTTTACTTGCTATATGACCCTGGGGGAGATACCATTTCCCTCTCTGCCTCAGTATCCTCCTCTGTAAAATGGGGATAACTTACCCACCTCAGAAGAGCTGGGGGTTGTGAGGTTTGCTTCATATGTACACAGTGTTTTTGCAGTCCTTGGATGGAAGGTTCAGTAAATGTGGAGATTGTCACTCATTCAGTTGAAGTATAGTGATCTCTGCTCCAAAATGAATCTCTGAGGTGAGAGGATTTCTGCTGTTCTTTGCATGAAGGCTAGATGTAGCATCAAAGCCGTATCCTTGACTCCTGTGAAGCATGCAATTTGGTCTGGTGCTGTAGGTCAGCAGTGTCTGGGAAAGGAGAATTGTGGATTGAACCCAAAGGTGCTTTAGAGTTCTAGACCTCCTTCCATTTGGCCACCACAGGAGGTTTCCTGGAAATTCCCACCCACAACTGTCAATCCATCCAATGGAGGCGATGGTCTTCAAAGACCTGCTCCTCAGATGACAATCATCTGGTGCACAGAGCCTGCCAGCTGTGAATGCCTGGGAAGGCGGGAGTTCCAATCAGGACAAGAACAGCTGGGATGAAGGTGTATTTGTGTTATTGTCCAGTGGGTCTGCAGCCAGACTCCCCCATGGTATGAATGATTGTTCTGGGGGCAGCTGGCTCCATTTTGTGTGATCATCTTCTTTCTCTCATAGGGAACACAGAATATTTTAGAGGAGGAAAGTCACATTAAGGATGTCCTGTCTCGCATTGTGGTGGAGATGATCAAGCGTGAATGGCCTCAGCACTGGCCTGATATGCTGAAGGAGCTGGATACGCTCTCCAAACAAGGGGTATGAAGCACACCTGTCTGTCATACTTGTCTGTACTCT